TGGCAAACAGTACAATCTAGTTATATCTCGGGAACAACACACTCCGAGAAGTCATCAATGAAGTAGATCCGGCAGAGCTATGGGCAAAGTTAGAAATGAGGTACAAGTCAAAGTCCTTGACAAATCGGTTATCTTTGAAGAAGCAGTTGCACACTTTTCAAATGCCAGAAGAAATGAACCTTACAAAACATCTGGATGAGTTCAACAGGCTCACAATGGAGTTGGATACTATTGGGGTGAAAACCGAGGAGGAAAATAAGGCTATTATCTTGCTGGTCTCCTTACCTCCATCATATGAACATATCAAGACTACTCTAATGTACGGGAAAGATACTCTTGGACTAGATGAGGTGGTTGCTACACTTATTTCCCATGAAACGATGAAGAAAAGGGAAAGCAGCAAACACCCAGAAGGAAATGCCATGGTTGCATCAGAAGATGATCGGGGCAAAGGCAGGACCAATGAGAGACGGGGTAGATCCAAATCAAGAGGGTGTTCGCAATCAAGACCAGGCTGCAGAAGAAAGTGCTATTATTGTGATCAGGAGGATCACCTCATCAAAGACTATGCAAAGCTCAAGGAAGACAAGGCAAACAAGGAACAAGCGAGCTCATCAAATGTGGCTGCTACAGTAAATGCTAAGGATGAGTATGCATTCACAATTTCGTCGAGTATGATGAAACCTGATTGGATTTTAGATTCCGGAAGTACATACCATATATGCATGGACAGGAAAATTTTTTCCACCTACCAAGCCAAGGACAGAGGTATTATTCGAGTGGCTAACAACACAGTGAGTAAGATTGTTGGCATAGGAACAGTACAACTCCGAATGGAAGATGGAAAAATTTTCACGTTGGATGGAGTCCAACACGTGCCAAGGCTAAAGAAGAATCTAATTTCCTTAAGTATGCTAGACTTGAAGGGTTACAACTTCTCTTCTAGTAAAGGAAATCTCAAAGTTATCCATGGAGATACAGTAATCCTGCATGGACAACTAGAGGGGAATCTGTACAGACTTGTTGAAGAGGTTGTGGCAGAAGGAGCTACTGTCACTTACCGAGCAAGAAGTACAAGACACGCACTGAAAAGACATAGGGCTCAGCAGACATGGCAACCAAAGTGTACAAGAACGCATGGAGGCAGTTCGAAGGTGCATAAAACGGAGCCATTGCAGCCAATCTTGAAGAAAGCTCAGAGCAAAGAGACCAAGACAACAAAGCACATCCCAGGGAAGAAAAGAGTTTCTTTTGCTCCTGAATTAGAGATCTATTACGATCTCTCCAAGACAACATTAAAGAGAGAGATGCAATCACAAAAAGTTGCAAAGTAACCTTTGCATGGCACCCCAGTAAGGGGGTGCAAGGCATTCCAGGCAGGGGGTGCTATTATGGATCGCCTTACATAGGTGAAGGGGGTGATTTATTGAGATTCACCCATGTGGAGAGGCAGCCACCATTGTTGACAATTGGTTGCCATAAATGTTGGTGGTTGCCATAAATGATGGTGGTTGCCATAAATGTTGGTGGTTGCTTGTTGAAAACTTTGGCCGTCCATTTTCTCCTATAAATGGTTAGTGAATTGGAGAGGGTCTGTGTAGTGAATTGAAGGGAATAACACAAGTTATATACAAGTGAGTGTATATCTTTGTGAAAGTGAGAGAAAAATCAAAGAGTGTAAGGCAATAGAGAGTGGGTGAGTTGAGAGAGAGTGTCTCCTCCTCTGTGTAATCTCTATTTCTTTTAATAGAAATCTCTGGTTCTCTCTGTGGACGTAGGCATTGAGGCCGAACCACGTAAATCTTGTGTCCATTTATCGTGTGTTTAATTTCTAGTAGTTCAAGTGGGTTGCCTTAAACCACAACAAATTCAACCCCCGTAAAAGATGAATTGACGGTCAATTTTCTACGAAATTCTGATGAGAACTAATTATGTAATTTTATGTTTTTATATTCTATTTTTAATTTTATTTTTAAAAAATAATGCAACTCAAATAAAATAAAAAGATGTGCTAAAGTAACATATCCCAAACAATCCCTTAAGAAATCCTTGTGGTATAATTTCAATGTGCTTTTGCAATGATGATGGCGAGGTCAAAAAAATCTTTTATAGCAATAGTGATGGGATTCAATTTTCAATATCAAATCCCCTACGGGATTAGCAAACCGGACGAAACACCAATGCGATTATATATTTGTCAACCAAACACACAATTTGTGAGTCACATCTCATTGCTACTAATCTCATCACTGAGTTTGCAAAACAAACAGGTCCGGATAGTGATCTCATAATGTTGAGCCTCATTTGAAGCACTCGCACTACAAGAATTTGCACTTTTAGCGACCACTTTCCGTGACCAATATGAAAGTTGGTAGCTAAAAGTTACCTTTTGGTGACCAAATATTAATTAGTTGCGAATGATCATTATTTTTGGCGACCAAATATGAGTTGGTCGCAGAAGGTCATATTTTGGCGACCAAAATTTTGGTCACCAAAAAACTTATTTTTAGCGAGAAAAAATATTTTAGTTGCCGTATATTGAGTTTTGGCTATTAAAACAATGTAGTCGTCGAATGGAAAATAAAAAATTATTTTTTATCTTTTGGCGACCAAAATTTTGGTCGCCAAAAACTTATTTTGAGTGACTAAAACAATGTAGTCGCCGAATGGAAAATAAAAAATTATTTTTTATCTTTTGGCTTGGTCGCCAAAAAACTTATTTTTAGCGACTACAAATATTTTAGTCGCCGTATATTGAGTTTTGGCTACTAGAACAATGTAGTCGCCGAATGGAAAATAAAAAATTATTTTTTATCTTTTGGCAACCAAAATTTTGGTTTCCAAAAAACTTATTTTTTGCGATTACAAATATTTTAGTTGCCTTATATTGAGTTTTGGCTACTAAAACAATGTAGTCGCCGAATGAAAAATAAAAAATTATTTTTTATCTTTTGGCGACCAAAACTTTGGTCGCCAAAAAATTTATTTTTAGCGACTATAAATATTTTAGTCGTCGTATATTGAGTTTTGGCTACTAAAACAATGTAGTCGCCGAATGGAAAATAAAAAATTATTTTTTATCTCTTGGCGACCAAAATTTTGGTTGCAAAAAAACTTATTTTTAGCGACTAAAAATATTTTAGTCGTCGTATATTGAGTTTTGGCTACTAAAACTATTTAGTCGCCGAATGGAAAATGAAACATTATTTTTTATCTTTGGCGACCAAAATTTTGGTCACCAAAAACTTATTTTTAGTGACTAAAAAAATTTTAGTCGCCGTATATTAAGTTTCGGCTACTAAAACTATTTAGTCGCCGAATGGAAAATAAAAAATTATTTTTTATGTTTGGCGACCAAAATTTTGGTCGCCAAAAACTTATTTTTAGCGACCAAAAGAAAATTAGTCGTCGTATATTTTTTTTTTCTGACCAAAAGAAAGTTAGTCGCCAAATTAATATTTTTTGCCGACTAATATTTTAGTCGCCGTTAATTAAGCTTTGGCTACAACAAAATTTAGTCACCAATTATTAACATTTGCTGACTAAAAACTACTTCTGTCGCCAAAGGTGTGAAAATTTTAGAGGGAAACCATTTAATATTGTCCCCACCTTTTCTCTGTTTAAACAAATCAGATTGTTCTCTCTCTCACACAGATTCTCCTTTACCTCCACCTCATTACTGGTGCCTCTCTCTCTCTCTCTCTCTCTCTCTCTCTCCTAAACAATTTAGTAGCTAAAAATACCAGAATTGGCGACAAAAAAATTATTTTAGTCGCCGTATGTTGAGTTTTGGCTACTAAAATTATTTAGTCGCCGAATGGAAAAGAAAAAAAAAATTATCTTTGGCAACCAAAAGTTTTTTATCTTTCTCTCTCTCACTCATCACTCTTCTCTGTCTGTTTCTCTCTCTCTCTCTTTCTCTCTGTGTCTCTCGTCTATCTCTCTTCTCTCTATCTCTCATCTCTCTTCTCTCTCCGTCTCTCTTCTCTCTCTCTCTCGCTCATCTCACTTCTCTTTATCTCTCTCTCTCTCTTGCTCATGTTTCTCTGTCTCTCTTTCGTTTATCTCTTTTCGCTCTCTTTCTCTCTCTTTTTGTCTATCTCTCGCTCATCTTTTGTTTCTCTCTTTTTTTTGTCTCTCTCTCTATCTCTCTCTCTCTCTGATTTATCACTCTTCTATCTCTCTTTCTTTCTTTGTCTACTTGTCTGTTTGTCTGTCTATCTGTCTCTCTCTCCTACTGTGTTCGTCTTGCTCACTTTCTCCCTCCCCTCTTCTCTATTTACCGAGCTTCCTCTCGATTTATCGATCCGCTACAAGAAAATGTACTATTAGCGACCACTTTGTCTCTCTCGTTCATCACTCTGTCTCTGTCTCTCTATCTCTATTTTTTATCTGTCTTTCACTCATCTCTCCCTCTCACCAACCGTCTCCTCTACCACCTTCACCACTACTGCAAATGTCATTCCACTACCACCATTGCTACCACTGCTGCCACTCCACCTCTACAACTACCATTATTACCACCATCGCCACCACTCCACTACCACCACCACTACTACTACCATTACCTCTCCTCCACCACCACTACTCCATCTCCTGTACCACTACCACAACTTCACCACTAATTTCCTTTTCCATCACCACCATCCCCTCTTATCTACCACATTCATTACTACTGCCGCTCCCTCTCTTCTACCATAACAAATTAGTTTCTGATTCTTGGTAACCAAAAAAAATGGGCCGCAGAAAAATGTTTTTAATTTACCACAAAAAATTAACTTTATTTTAATGAAAAATATGTTTCATTAAAATATTACCCCAACTTCTATCAAATAAAAATAATAATAATTTTTTTATTAAAATAAAAATGAAACAAATAAATTTTTAACCTTAATAACTAAAAAAAAAATAAAAAATAAAAATATTAACTACAAAAAAAAATAACAAAAATAAATAAATAAAACCATGTCATTCACACCGCCTCTCCTCTCCTCTCCTCTTTTCTTCTTTTCGTTTCCCCTCTTTATATCCAAATTCCCCCCTTCCTTTCCTCCCCTTTGTTTCTTACCAACTCAAATCTCCAATCTCCAATCCCTAATCCCTTAAACAAAAAAATCCCCGATTTCAAAAATCTCCAAAATACTGTACCATCTCTCTCTCTCTCTCTCTCTCTCTCTCTCTCTCTCTCTCACGTCTGCAAGCAGCGGCAGTGGCAGCAGCAGCAAGGGGGGACGATGGCGAGCAGCGAGCGACGACGGTGAGCAGCGAGTGACGACAGCTAGCAGCGGCAGCGGTGGTGCGGCGTCTCAGATGCCTTTGCCGATTCAACCCGTCCCTCCGATTGAGCTATTAGGTTTTTGCCCCAAAGCGAAAACCCGGCAACGCCGACTGAGGTGAACCTCTTTCTCTCTCTCTCTCTCTCTCTCTCTCTCTCTCTCTCTCTCACACACACACACACACACACACACATTTCAATCCAACATATATGTATATGCACATAAGTAATTGAGGCTTAGTTATGAAGCATATCTCAATTAGGTTGAAACATGAAGCAAATCCAATCAAATACAAAGTCAGTGCCTAAAAGAAAAAAATGAAAGAACACACTAGGGAAAACAAAGCAAAGTAAGGCAAACCAAAGACCATGCTTTGAACTGTTGAAATTTAATTGAAAAACCATGCTTTGAACTGTTGAAAAACCATGCTTTGAACTGTTAAAAATAAATTGTGTTAAAAATAATCATCCAAAAAATTATCTATTGAAAAACCATGCTTTGAACTGTTGAAATTTAATTGATAATTACTGATCCTAGTTTCATGCATTAGAGAAAAATTAGGTACTTGAATTGAATGTGCTTTTGGACCTATGCTACTTGAACAGGATCACTCATGAGAGAGAGAGAGAGAGAGAGAGAGAGAGAGAGAGAGAGAGAGAGAACAGAATGTGTATAACACTTAGGAAATATTGCACCAGAGCAGAACAGTTTATACATGTTGTAAATTTGGGTTTGATGCAAAAGAATTAGAGCAGAACAGAATGTGTATCACCACACCCATCCGTCTTTGTCTATATTGATTAGATATTCATATATTTATCAATATAGCTGCTTTCTTTTGCCGATCAAATAAAAGAGAATTAGTGAAATTTTCTTGTAGTTAGCCAGCCCAATTTCCAAATAAGTTTTTTGGAATGATGAAATTCAATGTACATAAAGCATTGAGACAACATAAAAAATAAAAGGTGAGTACATAAAGTATCATAGCAAAACTTCCGACCCCAACTAAGTTAGCACAGAAAAGGAAGCTCAATCATGTATTAGCACCACACCAAGGGTTGGAGAAGGGAGAAAGTTTCTGATTGAACAATGGAAAACAATAGGTTCCTCAAGTTTGCTTCAGTCAGAAACGACTATACAAATCAAGCTTCTTACAGCAAGTTGTTACAGACTACATAGAAAACCATTTAAAGTAGAGATAATATCACAAGATTCACAGCCCTCTAGTGCCAAATATCACAAGCCATAACAAAAAGGAAAAAGAAAAAAAGAAAAAATAAATAAATAAATTGAGCTGAGGAGATGGATCCAATGTTAATTCAACAGTTTGTTAAAAATCATTCCTAGATATTTGAATCTTTCACAATTCAAAGAGCAGAAATAGCAGAAAAACATCCCCTTCCATGATCTTGTTCATCATCTTCATTATTGCTATAAAGACCTAGATTTGATTTTTAAAGGTCAAGAGCTTTCACCCTTTTCAAGAACTTTGAACTCTAGTGGAGTTGGACTATCAGTATGTTTCTAAACTCTTATCTCTAACTCACATGGATAGCTTAGTTGTCAAGGATTTTCGGAATTAATTGTAAACTTGAATGCTTTGTGCAATCTATTTTTTTTATTATTATTTTTTCTGGTGATTTGCTTGTACTTAGATACACATGATTGGTGGATTATTATGTGTAACAGGAGTTTATTTTGAAAGGTGAGTCAACGTTGCTCTGTCTTGTAGAAGTTCCTCAATAGTTTTAAAAAAATAAAAAGAAAAGATAAATTAAAAATGAAATAATTTGGGTTTATTTATCAAAACCAAATAAGGTAGCCCCAAGATTAACACTTTCTCAACCAAATAATGAACTAGGAGAAGAGACATGAGGGAGTAATTTAGACCCAATGCCTTTCCCAAATAAACAAGCCCTAAAACCATCTCCAAGGGCAAGGGCAAGGGCAAGGGCAAGGGCAACAGGGAGTGGTTCAAACTTTAATGTCTTTGTGGATTAGTCTCTGTTTTGGAGGGAATATACCTCATGGTTCATGTTCCACTTCAAAGCTACTATTGAACAACAAAAGTTTTCATTTTGATGAAGAATCTCAACCTTTAGATTTGGAATCGGCGATTTCTCAAGAAGTGTGCATATTTTCAAAGGATGGAACCCACTCCAATCATGGTCTTGACTTTCAAGAGTAGTCTTTTTCTACCATCTTTTTGTTTAGGGAGTCTTTGGTTTGCCTTATTTTGCTTTGTTTTCCCTAGTGTGTTCTTTTATTTTTTTTCTTTTAGGCACTGACTTTGTATTTGATTGGATTTGCTTCATGTTTCAACCTAATTGACATATGGATTTGCTTCATTTCAATCCAACTGGTAAACCTTGTCTTTTGTTTTTCTTTCTTCCTCTATCAACATTAAGAGTTGTAGTATTAAATAATAATAATAATAATAATAATAATAATATTAAATAATAAGAGCTCATTTATCTATCTCACTTGAAGATCGGGAGTTCAATTTATGTTTGAGTTTTTGTTTTGTGATTTGTGTGATTGTTGAATTTTGAAGAATCGATTTTGAAGACTGTTGTTATTATTATATTTGTACTTTGCCTTATCCATGTATTTGTACTTTGCCTTATCCATATTATGAAACTGTTGTTATTATTATGCTATTCACCTTTTAATGGATACCTTTTTGTTTTAGTGTAATGGAAAAGGGTTCTCCATTGACATCTTCTCTCTCTGTTGTAGGTTAGGGTGTTATGCGAGAAGGCTAAGGGGATTCTAATGGAAGAAAGCAATGTGACCATCTTTTGTCTTGACTCTTCCCGATAGGAATAAACAAACTTGTCCAATATGCCATATAATGTGGAAGTAGTAAAGAGTTCAAATTGATTTTTATTCTTCACTAATTCTTCACTTTGATTCTTATGTTTATAAATATATTTTTTTGTACTGCTAGTTATCTGTACTTGATACACTGATGCCTCTTGTATTTTTCTGCACTTATAACGCACATTATCCCATAGTGATTAACTTTATGATATCTTGAATTGAATTGGCATCGGGTTCTTCACAATCTGCCATCCTTGGTGAAGCCACCATCAATCTGTTGATTATACTGATGCACTGAAGCCTTCTGCCATTGCACTGCCTCTACATGGATGTAAGTCTGGAATTATTTTACATGTGAGACACTTCTATCAGTTCTTTAAGCTTTTAAACAGATACCTTTTTCAATTGTAACCAGTGGCCAAGTTGAATGTATTAGTTGAGCAGAAACATCAAAATTCAAATGAAGAATTTTGAATTTATTGCGCTTCTCATTACTTGGATTGGGATTTTTAAAGTTTATGCTCAACTTAGCAGCCACCTAGAAGTAAACAAGATTTTTTAATTGGATTCTTAACTCTATCTGCTTTTTGGGTTGTTGATTATACTCCATTTGGTTTCCTAGAAAATCTAGTAAAGAGAAGGAAAATTTTGAATTTATTAGGTTTCGCATTACTTGAATTGGGAATGTAAAACGTTTTACTCAAACTTAGCGTAGTACAAGTAGATAGCATTAGTTAATTGAATTCTTAATTTTGTTGTCTGTTTGGATTATGGAAAAATTGAAGCATTAGTTACTATCCTCTCTCTATGTACTTCTTGGGTTTTTTATTATACTCCATTTGGTTGTCGATTATACTCCATTTGATTATACTCTATTAATTACTCCTTGTATCAGTAGCCCATCTACACCAATACCAACCCAAACCAAGCATAGCAAGACAAGACACCACAATAGTTTAGCACTCCACACTACAGCAGTTATAGGAAAAACTAAAAAACTACACTTTTCTGGTTAATTAGCACTCCACACTACAGTTTAGCACTCCACATTTTTCTGCTAGTTGAGAAGTCTATTGCATATTATTGTGAACTATTGTTTTATTTAATTATTTTTGACTTGTTCTTCTTTGAATTACATTTAAGTTTGTTCAAAAAACTAAACAATGAAATACCAAAGTGGTAATGCTATAGACATAAGAATGCTGTTGTTTTATTTATAATTTGATAATGATAGTCATTTAATTTGCTAATGTGACCTTAACTTTTTATGGACAGTTTTTATTATTTGTCCAATTTTACCTGACATTATTTCTCTTTTTCTTTGGTACAGATGGATGAACTCGTACACAAAGCTAAATTGTATAGGACAAATTGGCACTTTTTGTATTTTTGGAAGGATTATATATTTTTGTATAGATGTATATGGAAAATATTAAGGTAGACTAGTAGTTATATTTTTGGATACACTAGTAGTTATATTTTTGGATGGGTGTGTATGGAAAATATTTGGTAGACGACTAGTTATATTTTTTGGTTGATGCACATGGATAAAAATTTAAAACATAATAATAAGTACTTGTGTTTTAAATTTTTATGCTTGATGAAATATGTAGTTTGGAATTACTTGTGGATGAAAACTTATAATAGTTGTTGATTTTAATTAAACAGGTTCAAAAATTGTTGATATATGTATTTTGTTGAATGTTCATGATTCAATTTATTTGTTGGTTTGAATGATTTTTGCAAATTATAGATTATATTGAATAAATTGGATGGATTATTATAAATTACAAATTTATTTTATTGGATGTTGGTGACCAAATTTTGGTTTTGTTTTTCTAGTTTTTGTGACCAATTGATTGGTTGGGAAAGATAAGTTATACTTTTGTCGACTAAATAAAGTAGTCGGTGTATCACCAAGCATATTTGGAGATTAAAGAATTAGTCATTAAAATTATTAATTTTGGCAATCAAAGAATTTGGTCGCGAATAGGTCTATTGCCGACTAAAGTTTTAGTTGCGCAAACATTTCTTTTTACGATAAACATGTTTGGTCGTGGAATGTGACAATTGGCGATCAAACAATTTGGTTGTGAAATGTGACAATTGGCGACTAATTATTTTGGTCATGGAATGTGACAATTGGCGACCAAACTAAGAGGTCGTAGAATGTCACAATTAGCGATCAAAATTTTTGGTCGTGGAATGTCACAATTGGCGACCAAACTTTTTGGTCATTGAATGTGATAATTGACGATCAAACTTTTTGGTCATGAAATGTGACAATTGGCGAATAAGATATTTGGTCGGGAAAATTTCACTTTTCGTGACCAAAGTGTTTTAGCGACAAAATAGATTAGTTGCAGTAATGATAAATTTAGCGACCAAAAATTTAGTCGGTAAATTTAACTTTTTCCGATCAATCAAAATTTTGGTCGCGAATTACTTTTGTCGACCCTCAATTAGCGACCAAAATGGCGATTAAAAAAATTGATCACGAATAACTTTTACCGATTAAAAATAAACTTTTAACAATCAATTTTTTAATTGACAAAAGTGTTATTTCTTATAATGTCATCATGCGCTGACTCATGGATTTTCATCGGTCAATGGGCTGAGCTCGAGTAAGTTCATTCTAAACTTCATTCTAAACTTGTAAATGTTTAGGTCCAATTGGTGAGCTTCAAAATATGGGTTTATGGATTTCGGACGGGAGTCCCAATATCGATTTAATTTGACCATAATTCGGACTTTTTTAATAAATTCAAAATTTGTTAGGAAGAAACAAAATTGTAATACAAACTTCATAAAATGCATTGTGACAATTAGAAATAATGAAAAATAAAAAAATAAACTTTATTTATCGAAACATAAAATTACATTAATATATCCATTATGTTATTAAACTATATGCATTTTTAATTTCTTGATAAAAATATTAATTTTATTGTTGGTGTGCTACTCACTTTTTTTTAATAGTTTTATGAATCTTAATATTTTACTAATATGCATATATACAAAAAAAATAATAATAAAAAATAAGAGAGAAAACATAGTATTTTTTTAATTAGACGCCAAACCACTATTAAGAAGTGGATACTTGGCCAAAGCCTTTCCATTGAGCCCTTCTTTGGTGAAAACGACAGTTTAATTTATTTTGTTTCATAAACCCCTTAAGAAGGAGTCGCATAATTGAGTAAGGACAGAATAAACTTTCTTTTTTTTTTTCCTAGACAATATTACTCATATATCACATATTTGAAATTTGTAGGATTCTTTAGTTTGTAATTATAAATCCTTCTTTATTTGGCATTTGGTAGTGTCATCGAATTACTTTTGAAAGTCTCAAAATCTATGATCTTCTTCATTCATCAATCACTGAAGGCGAAACTCACAAGCCATAATTTAATTGTCTGAGTTCGAAGAAATAGATAAGAAGAGAAGGTAATCATTGTTTGTTTTCTTCTAATGTACCTTAAACTAGGCTTGTGCTAACATCATTGTTTATCAATTCAATAAATTCTCACTTTTATTTTACAAGTTTAGAAATATTGTGTATATGTACTTTTCGTTCGTTTATCTAATATGTACTCTATTTTTTGCAAAGTAAAATTTTACGTTGATTAACGACAATAAATTTTGATTGCTGATATGCTTAATGACAGTTACTGTGAAACATAGTAAAATTTTACTCTGAATGATGTTGTGATTTCGCCTACTCTATTTATGACAGAATAAAATTTTACTGTGAAACAGAGTAAAATTTTAGTGTCTATGTCAATTTCGATAGTATTTTTTTTTTTAAAGAATTTTATACTCAACCTAGATTTTGTTTGATAGATCATGATGAGAGGATTCTAAAAATATAAATTTTATTAAAAATCGATATCTAAATTAAAAGTTATATCATTTTAAAATTTAAAATATTAAATTAGACACTAAGGATATTTTGATAATAATGATATGTGTTGAACTTTTCAAAAAAAAAAATTTATATTTATTCTTAATACATTAAAATTTTATTATAAGAGTTTTGACTATATCTCTCTATTTTTAGCCCTAGGGAAGTGAACTAATGATGTTGGTCTTACTACTGTACACTAATTTCTTTGATGGATAAGGCCCCACTTGTTACATATACAACAAAAGCTTAAGTCAAAAAGATTTTTTAAAGGTTAATATTAAAGATGTCAAATTTTTTATTAAATAAATGACAAGATATTTCACATGAAAAAATAGTTAGAATCCACTGTCGAGTTCAATTTTGTTTATATATTTAAAAATTGTGTGAATAATATACATATATTTTGATTGATGGATTGTAGTGGGACTTATTTTTGGGTAAGGTCATTCGCAAATTTAGACTAATCATATTTCATGTATTATTTATATACTAAAAAATGTGTGAACAAATTTATTTTGACGACAACCGATTGCCATTGGGTTAGGGTCTTAGAGAGATGTTAGCGCAAAATCTTACAGATAGATATAGTAACTCATTTTTGTTAAATAGTTAAAAGATAAAATTTTCACTTATTAAGAATATCACAAAAATAACGTCACATAATATTCTTAGACTATTTAATAATTTTCTTCACCAAAATTGACTCTTTTTTTTTTTCAATTTTTTTCATTCCACAAAATACAATTTGCCGTCTTGTAGAATAATTTTCTCTTAACCAAATTTCAAGGGTGATGATACAAATGAAGCCATAAAATCAAAAGTTTAGTGTGCGTCTTTTTGTACAACACTAAGATCCTTAGCCACCTCCATCACCAATAAAGCAAGACACAACACAGCCACCCTTCACTCTCAAAGTTGAGCCAATGGGTGTCCTTGAATCTTCAATAACCCTTTTTTCAAGCTCTCTATGTATTTCCCTCATTTTTGTCCTCATCAAGTTCCTTCACAAAGTATGGTGGACTCCAATCTCCATACAACATGTGATGAGCTCACAGGGAATCACAGGACCTCCTTATAGATTCATCTATGGAAACAGCAAGGAGATCATCAAGATGAGAGCTGAATCCATGAGCAAGCCCATGGATTTATCCCATGACATATTTCCTAGATTACATCCTCATATCCACTCTTGGCTCAACTTATTTGGTAGTTATGTTTTAGTTTTCCAAACTTTTCGATCATATAGTTTTTGTTAACTTGATATACATTTTTTAGACTCACCGTCCAACTTCCACTTTAGAAGTATTTTTCATTATGGTCGGGTCTTACACACATATTAGTGATCTGGTTTCAGAAAATTCTAGATTAAAGTCTTGTCACCATGTTATCTCTATCATTGTGCACTACTTTTTATCTGTCTTCATATACCTTTTTTTTCAATATGTTTACCTCTTCACGCTCGAGATGGTGTCTCACACGAAAGGGAGTGCCAACTTAATACATGTTGTTAGACTTATTTTCTAACAACTTAAGTTCTTTAGACATTTGATGAACTAACAGTTTCAATACACAATTTAACTAATTTAACATTTGCTCTACTTTTATGTATTTATTTATTTGGAACAGGGAAGAATTTTCTTAGCTGGTATGGTCCTAGAGCTCAGCTAGTTATTACTGAGTCAGAGCTTGCCAAAGAAATACTTAACAACAGAGAAAAAGCTTATCAGAAAGTAGACACGGAAAAATACTTAAAGAAGATATTTGGTGATGGTCTTTTGACATCTGAAGGAGAAAAGTGGGTGAAATTACGAAAACTGGCCAATCATGCTTTCCGTGCGGAGAGTTTGAAAGTATGCTTTTATTAGTATTTTGATTATGATCATATTATTCATGTTATTGAGTCTAAATTAACAAAAATAACAATTTTGGTAAATATTCACTTTTTGTTAATAATATGAGGATTTGGTATATGTATTGTGTAGAATATGGTTCCGGCAATGATTGAGAGTGTTGAGATGATGCTAGAGAGATGGAAATATCATGAAGGCAAAGAGGTCGAGGTATTTGAAGAGTTCAGGATATTAACATCAGAAATTATTTCAAGAACAGCTTTTGGGAGCAATTATTTAGAAGGGAAAGAAATATTTGAAATGTTGATGAAGCTGGTTATAATATTTTCTAGAAATTCTTCAAACATTAGGCTTCCTGGCCTCGGGTAAGTCCATCCTTCGTTTTCTGAAAAACGTTTTCCATGAAAAACTTTTTCATGTGTTTGTGATTGCAGCCTTGAACATGATGATGTGCTAATTGTGGTGGTGGCGACGATAGAAGCAGTGGCAATGTGGTGAAGTGGTGGCATTGGCAGTAGTGATATTTGTAGGACTATAGTTCAGATAGAACATTTTCTACTTTTGAATTACTAGCGCTTTTTATCAAAATAAGCTCATTTTTTGTTTATCAAAGAAAAAATGTTTCGTTAACTTTCATTTTTCTATCATACCATTTTAGTCACTGACATAGCAACCGACACTGCCGGATATCAACTGATATATAAATATATCATCGTTTCCGTTACATATCTTGATACCGTTATTTAAAACAATGTTCATAAGTTAGTGCTTCATGTCAAGAACTAATTTTGATTGATTAATGAATTGTCAATTTGTGCAGTAAATTCTGGAAAAGTAGCGATGACGTAGAATCAGAAAAACTTGAACAAGGGATACAAGATTCTATTATAAAGATGATAAATAAGAGAGAAAAGGCAATGATACAAATAGGCAACTTTGGGACTGATTTGCTTGGACTACTAGTGAAAGCTAATAACGATATAGATGAGAATAATAGGTTTACAGTAGAAGAAGTTGTTGATGAATGCAAGACTTTTTACATTGCTGGACATGAAACTACGACAACCTTGCTTTCATGGACTGTTCTTTTTCTAGCAATCCACGCAGATTGGCAAGACAAAGCGAGAAAGGAGGTCCTTGAGCTTTTTGGCCAAAAACTTCCAAATGCACAAGGCATTGCACGAATGAAAATGGTATACATTTTTCCCATTTGGTAAGGTTTATATTTATCCAAAACAAAATTTTGATTTATTTTTTAAATACAAAATTTGCTAAATTCTAGTAGACAAAAAAAAAAGTTATTTGGCGTTTAAGATTTTTCTTTTCTACAAGTGAATCAATGACGCAAGTTTAATACTTGGTGACAAAAAAAAAATCGTCGCTAAATATGCCATTTCTTTGGTGTGTAATAGTTTACAAACTTTACTAAATAAGTTTCACTCCTCTACTCACCCAAAAAGTTTCATTCCTCTCTTCCCCATCTGGTTACTAAGGCCAAGTTTGGGAACACCCCAAAAAGTCAAAAAGTCAAAAAGTTACTCAAAAAGTTAAAAAGTTATCACTATTCACCAAAAGTCAACAATTACGGCTGCACAACTCCCAATTCTAATTTTCTCCTACAAATCAATTTTTACAAAATCGTCGCTAAATATGCCATTTCTTTGGTGTGTAATAGTTTACAAACTTTACTAAATAAGTTTCACTCCTCTACTCACCCAAAAAGTTTCATTCCTCTCTTCCCCATCTGGTTACTAAATTGTAATAAAAAATAGTAGATTATAAATACACCACCCGAGTTTTACTTAATATACAGATTATTCTTCATAATTTTAAAAATTATATTTCACCTATTTATATTTATAATCGCATAACAAATGACATCTTTTATAATAAATCATCAAGTCAATCAACGATTTTTAATAATGTTAGAAGTCTATTAATTTTATTATTATATAGGAGAATAGTTATAAATTTCATTTTTTCTGACAATTCTGTTAAATAAAAAATTCTGACAAACAAATATTTGTAATTTCTAAAATCACAAGAAATGATATATATTTTAAGCAAATCTTATGAGGTTTATTTATAATTTACCCTTAAAAAATGATTTTCAATTTTTTTTTTTTCAAATAATTTTTTTTTCTCTCCCATCCGATCACCACCGACAGCCAACACGAACTCCTTAGCTCCAATCCAAACACTACCACCTCTGACCAGAGACAGAACCAAGATTTCATTATCAAGGGAATTAAAAGAAAAATACTTTTTTTTCACCATATAAACAAGCATACATGTATGTATAATATGATATATAATATATATGTATATACATAGAAAAAAATTGTAAATACCGTAGAAGCAATTTCTAATAGGATGGAAAAAAAAGTTGGTGCAAAATAGAAAGATAATGCAAAATGGAAGAAAAATTAAATATATATTTTTTATACTAGAAACCATTTTATATATAAAATTATATATATAATATATATATATATAAAGTTTTATGAAAAATATTAATTTTTCACAAAAACAAGAGGGCCATAGCTCTTCATAATCTTCTTCTAATTCCTTTCTTATCTCTGACGTCAAGTCCTTGTGACCACTACTAGCAGCCAATCGACCACCACAACTTGCAAGTCCAGTTCCTTCTGACAACTGTTAACCAACTTCAATATTCCTCTCATTTGTTTTAAGAATAAGCTTTTGAAAAAATGTGTATCAACATCTAACTCAACTAATTAATTAGATATGAGTGGAGGATTTCTAAAGTATATTAACCAAGTTTAAGTGATTTAGAAAGATGATGTTGGACAAATTTAACGATATACTTGTCAAATATGATTTTTTTATTATTATTATTGTTTTTACTATTAAAAAAATATTTTGAATGACCTTAATCCCATTATCACTTTATATCTCCTTATAATATTAACATGACCTTTTGATTTGTTTTGTCTTTTTTTTTTTAGATGAACATGATCATTAACGAGTCTTTAAGACTGTATCCTCCTCTAACAAACTTCACAAGAAAAGTTCATCGAAAAGTCAAATTGGGAAATCTAGTCCTTCCAGCCAACATAAACTTGTCGATTTCAACATTTGCACTTCATCGTGATCCTCAAATATGGGGAGAAGATGTGCATCTCTTCAAACCGGAGAGATTTTCAGGAGGAGTTGCTAAAGCTACCAACAACAACTCATCGGTGTATATTCCCTTTGGTTTGGGAGCTCGAAGTTGCGTAGGGACGAACTTTGCAACTAATGAAGCAAAGATTGCTCTGTCGATGATCCTACAACGCTATGCGTTCACTCTCTCTCCTGCATATATTCACTCTCCTGTGCAACTTCTAACGATTCGGCCACAACATGGGATTCAAGTAATGCTTCATGCTCTCTAGCTTGGACAAGAGTTGTTAACAAGATGTGCATTTGAATAATCAGACTTCGCAGAGATAGCATTTGAATAATGGCAAGCCGTGTGAAAAAATAAGTAATCTGTGAAGAAAGCATAATTAATTTCGAATGAACAATGCTTAATTCACACTCAAATTATGGCAAACACGTTTTTATGTTTATAATTTTTTGTTTATGAATAAAATTTTAAAAAAAACTGTAAATAAAAACTGGTTTTATGTCTTCTCCTTTTTTTTTTTTTTTTTCCTTAAGAAATTGTGAACAACTTACAAAATTTTCTAAATTGTTGTAAGTAAAAAAGATATTTTAATTTGTTTTGAAAGCAAGTTTTTGAAATTTCAAAAAAAAGCTTTCATCTCTTCCTCTCTCTCAACATGTCGAGGAACTCTCCAACCTGTATCTCCGGCTACCGACTCTCACTTGTTTTGAAAATAAAATTTTCAAACATAGGTGTATTAAATATTTTTTATTTTTTTATTTTCATTCAAAAATATATATAAATATATTTAATGTTTTTTCCAAACAAAAAATAATAATAAATTGTAGATGAATATCAAAGGTGCTCGAACCCCAGGGGTGACCCTGACTCCATCGGGGCCCAAAACGAAGTTTAAAATGAGGCCTTTATAGATAATTATAAATAACAATAATAATAATAATAATAATAATAATAAATTTGCATCCATACAAATTTGCTTGCATATATAAATACTAAAATTATTAATTTTTTACCTTTGATATGGACGAAAATTATTTAAAATATTAAGTGATAAATCCAATTTAAAAATATCATATTAGTGAATAATTCAATTATAATTTATTTTTCACAATAAATATAATTTGAAATAGATTTTAGACATTTTCAATGGATAATGTTATTAATTTTTTTATAACGTAAATGATTAAATGTAAAATTTGATCGATTTCAGCTTAAAATAATTATTTCTCAAGAGGCAAATGTAATTGGCATAGTCAACAATAGTCTATATATAATTTATACATTTAGCAAATAACGTCCATTGCTATTAAATAATTTATCACTTCAATTATTTTATAAATAAAAAAATCAATTAAACTTTATTTTTAAATTACTAATATAATAATGTAATGTTTGGTTCATTGTAATAAAATTGAATGGAATAGTATGATCATTTTCATCCTCTCTATAAAATGATTATTCTCTCACAATAATAATTGTATTTGTAATATTTGTATATTTTTAACCCGCAAGGGTGGCCCAGTGGGTGAGGGAAGAAAACCTGGGGTCTGGGAGTTTGCTCCTCCTGGAAGTCCCAAGTTCGAATCCCACCCTCCACGGGTTACTGTGTGGGGCACTGGAGGTTTGTCCGGTCGTTAACTTCAGGGCCCTCAGGATTAGTCTCATGCTTCGGCTGTGGGGATACCTGAGTCATCAAAAAAAAATATATATATATTTGTAATATTTTTTTTTATTTTTTTTAATAAATCAAACATAAAAATAAACATTAAAATAGAATGATTATTTATTTTTAATGAATCAAACCTAACCTACAAACTAATAAATCATTCAAGGACCCTAATTTTTACACAAAATTTAGAAGCAGGAGACAGCCGCCATGATAGCCTTGCCTACGGCCGGCCCTGTTGAACCCCTACTGTCATAACATCCAAAAGACACTGCCAAATAAGGCATTGACAACAAACATATACTTTTCTAATTGAATTCCTTGAAACAAACAAAAATAAAGTTTATTTAACATGTTATAATCATGATACTTGGGGATGTCAATTTTTTTCCGTCCCTTTCTGTCTGTGCATCATTGTTTCGTTTTGCGTATGATTGTCTTACCCAATAACAAAGTGGATGAGATCTCCGCCACATCTCAACTTTACTTATTAATGTCTGTATATAATGCAAGGTAAATTGTACTTGTCACCTTTATAATTTGATTTAAATTTTATTTTTATTTTTATTATTTTATTTTAAACAATCTCTTTTTGATATTTAAGTTCAATTTTAACTTAGTTATTTTGTTCAAATTTTTATTAATTTTTTTCTATGTGTACACTTAAGAAGATTGACAAATATCCCAAAATTGTTAATATTAATTTTCAACTGGAACATAAATTGAAATTAGACTTAAAGTATAAGGATTGAATTGTTCAATTTGAAACAATATATACCAAAATAAAATTTGAGTCAAATAAAAAGGGTTAAAAGTGTAATTTAACATATAGTATATTGATTTAATTTTCAATTATAGTAATTCTAAAACACCTAAATATTAAACTTAAAAATCTAATTTTTATCTTCTCTTCAATGGAGGTTGTTTTATTCATCCCTTTTATGGAAGTTGTTCATCTATTTTTGAGATCTTTTGATACCGCTATACTAAATTGATCCAATCTTTTATTGGTTTTGCAATAAAAATTTTCTTCCCGATCTAAAAAAAAACACTCAAATTTTATCCTTTATCTCTCATTCTCTATCTTTACACTTCATTACTTATCAATTATTATTCTTCATATGTCATATCATCTTTTAATCTTATTAGTACCACTATTCCTAATGTTATAAAATTAATCCACCTCCACCCACAATATAAAATTAATCCACCTAACTCTAGTTATCTTCCTTTTTTTTTCCCATCCACAGTGGAACACTACAAACCCGACTTTCACTAGCGTGCTCCGTTGCCATCCCTAATTGCTCTCAACTTTCACTATGCCAACAATGACCAAATCAATTTTCACTATGCCAACAATGATTAAATCACAAAATATATACTACACTCTTACAACGAACTAGAAGCAGGGCCGGCTCTCACATTTTCGGGATCCAAAGCGAACTTTCAATATGAGGCCTTTCAAACATTTAAAAAAAAATTAAAAATTTGTAACTAAAAAATTATGTATTCATTTTTTTAGACAAAGGTTACTTCTATATATAATTATTAAAATTTATTTAAATATATAACAAAGTTTATAATAAGAAAACTATTAAAATAATCCAAACTCAAGTAACAAATAAAAAAAGTCAACAAATTGTAACAAAATATCACTTAAATACGATAATTTTCTCAATTTTAATTGTAAAATCGCCAATTAAGCTTGTACAATACTTTTCAATGATTAAAATTGCTAATCCATTCAATTTTTTTGTGGCAGAGTTGACCGAAAGTAAACTTTGATCAACTTTAAATTTAAAAAGTGTTTTTTCTTTATAAACAATTATAACTAATATAATTAATCATATTCTACTCACAATTCATGCATTTAAGAAACTATCAACCTTATTTTTAAAAAAGTCACCATATATGAATCTGCTTTTTTATTTTTATTTTTGGGTAAAACAATCATCTATTAATTTTAAATAATTCACCACATCAATCATTTATTAGTTTTGAACTTTCATCAAACTTTGTTGGGGTATTCTAAATTTAAATGATTTTTTTTTTTTTTTTGGGAACTAGCAGAAATAGCTAAAACAAACAAAAATATTAGAGATCCTAAAAGTTCTACCAAAAATTATACCAAATGTCTCATATGGGTGTGGACCCCAAACCTATGTGAGACATTTGGTAGAACTTTTGATAAAATTTTTGAGTTCTCTAACATTACTCTAAAACAAATTTGAGACCCTTTTTTCATCAATTTTTGAGACCCAAAGCTTTGTCGGCTTTGGGCCAAGGCCAGCTCTCCACTACTACCTTGATGTAGTCTTCATCGCCACCCCAACAGATGGAGCCATGCCTAGCATCTAGTTTTTGTATCCATTTCAACACAAAGATTCCCCAAACACTTGCTTTATAACCATAACTTATAACAACATAGTTGATTGCAACAAGTTCATTGTTAGGGCACCATGATAACCTTCTTTGCAACCACTTTATGCATCTTCCTCCTCTTTGCACTCCTGTGGTTCCTGCATAAGGTATGGTGGACTCCAATTCGGATTCAAAGTTTCATGGCTTCACAAGGAATCAAAGGACCTTCTTATAGATTCATTCATGGAAGCACCAAGCAGATCAGCACCATGTTGGAGGAAACCGAAAGCAAACCAATGGAGGACATATCTCATCATTTATTCCCAAGACTGCTGCCCCATGTTTATGCTTGGACCCAACTATACGGTAACAAATGGTTGTTTTAGCTCTCAACAAGTTGTACTCTCTCTACCATACTTTGTGTGGACCATGCACATAGTTTGGGAAATTTTTTTGGATTTATCTCTGGTGTTAGTTTGGTCAATTGCATCGATTTTAAACTTTTCGTACTATCAATTTAGTTCAATTGATGATGTCATTTTAGAAATTAAAATAAAATCAATTGACAAAATAGTTTATTCACTTTCTTGAAAGTGATAAAGGGGTTAGTCTATTACTGGACCATTTTACCATTGATTTTTGTCCATTTTCTTAACAGACGTTATGAATAAAACTAAATTAACACAATATGAAAATTTATTAGGAAAAATTGATATAATTGACACTATATGGACCAATTTGACAAAATAGACAAATTATAGTGACCACATGTATAATTTGCCCAATTTTTTTAGAATAATATGGTTTAACACTTGCATAACTGCTATGTGAATCGGGATTTAACTACAAATTTGAAGGAGATTACTATGATAATCAAGATTGCTAATTTTAGTTTTTTTTTTTTTTTTTTTTTCAATTAACCTATTGGAATAGGGAAAACTTATCTTAATTGGCATGGTCCTCGAGCTCAATTGGTAGTCGCTGAACCTAGCCTGGTTAAAGAGATATTGAATAACAAAGATGGAGCATACCCAAAAACAAAGATCGATGATTACTTGAAGAAGCTGTTAGGAGATGGAATTGTGATATGTGAAGGAGAAAAATGGTCAAAGCTACGCAAAATAGCCAACCATGCTTTCCATGGAGAGAGCTTGAAGGTAATTAAACTTTATTTTTTGAGCATAATCAAGCATAGTTTTGAGGTATATTGCGGATATTGCAACAAAAAGTTTCAAATGAGGCCTTTTATATGTAGGAAATGGTTCCAGCAATGGTAAAGAGTGTGGAAACAATGCTAGAAAGATGGAGACAGCATGAAGGAAAGGAGATCGAGGTGTATGAAGAGTTCAGGATGCTAACATCAGAAATTATTTCCCGAACAGCTTTTGGAAGTAGTTACTTGGAAGGCAAGAACATATTTGACATGTTGATGAAGTTGGGGGTGATTGTGTCAAGAAATGAGTTGAAAATTAGCTTTCCGGCCATCGGGTATTCATTCATGAATCAACCTCTCTTTCTCTCTCTAACTTGCTAGTTAATCAAATTTCATTTTGCAGAAAATTTGTGAAATCACGCGATGAAATTGATTCGGATAAAATAGAACAAGAAATTCGAGATTCAATCATAGCAATGGTAAAGAAAAGAGAAAACAAGGTGATAACAGGCGAAACAGAGAGCTATGGGAGTGACTTTCTTGGATCGCTTATAAAGGTTAATCATGATGCCAATGAGAATAATAGAATTTCAATAGACAACATAGTAGATGAGTGCAAGACATTCTACATTGCTGGACAAGAAACAACAAATAGCTCACTAGCTTGGAGTGTTCTTCTCCTAGCAATCCACACAGATTGGCAAGACAAAGCAAGAAAGGAGGTTCTTGATTTGTTTGGCAACCAAAACCCAAATCTAGAGGGCATTGCGAGATTAAAGACGGTAAGCAAATCAAAACTGTCACTTGTGCTGTATTTTCTCAAAATTTCGAAGTAAGTCAGTTTAACTTACCCTTATTCTTTTCTTCCTCCTCTTTTTTATTTATTTGTTATTTTATTTTTTGTTGTTGAAATTCTTGTAGGTGAGCATGATCCTAAATGAAACTATGAGGCTGTATACACCAGTAATCCAGGTGATAAGAAAAGTTGAAAGGGCAGTCAAGTTGGGGAAGCACAATCTTCCGTCTAATATAGATGTAACCGTTCCAATTCTAGCACTGCACCATGACCCTGAAATATGGGGACAAGATGTTCATCTCTTCAAGCCAGAGAGATTTGAAGAAGGGGTGGCTAAAGCAACTAACAACATTGCATCATTTATTCCATTTAGCTTTGGACCCCGGATGTGCGTCGGCTTGAATTTTGCAAACGCTGAATCGAAGATAGCACTATCAATGATTCTGCAACGTTATAAGTTCACTCTATCACCAACTTATGTCCACTGGCCGATTCAAATGCTCACACTTCGCCCGCAGCATGGAATTCAAGTCATATTCCACCAGCTCTAAATTTGAATAGTAAAATTTTCATGTCTTGTAAGAATAATGTTATGTTTTTCTGTCCGTGTGATTTAAAATAAATAATTGTTTGAACCAACTTGTTCTGAAATTTCAATTAACGAGTATGAATCTATTTATTTTATGTTATCACACAATTTATGTAATATATATATATATATATATATATGAATGAACAATGTTTGTTGTGACAGCACAGTGCTGTCACAGCACCTGCCCCGCGTCCTCTTGTCACTGGGATGTTAAGAAACATACGTGACAGCTGCATCATTTAGTCATCTTCATTTTAGGTAGTTTTGTTTTTTACATTTTTGGTAAGTTTTCATTTTTATTTATTTACTTTATTTATTAGGGTAAATTATTGTAAATCCCCTTAAATTATAACCGATTTGCATTTTGTCCATCTGAAATTCAAAATTCAACAATCAACCATATTAAAGTATTATCTTATTACACTTAACCCCTTCCATTAGGATTTTGTTAGAGATTTTAGGTAATGTGTAAAGCACATGACATGTTGATTGAATTTATAAGGCAATAATGCTCTTATCTGGTGATTTCGTTTGAACTTTGCCACTAAGATAAAGAAAACAAAGTAAAATGAGATCACTAGATAAGGGTATTATTGTCCTAAAAAATCAATCACATGTATTATTATCTAAAAAATCAATAAGTTTGTTATACTTCACACACGACTTGATTTTGTTTAAATCTCGAGAAAGAACCCCTACTATAAGGTGTCAAGTGTAACAAGATAATAGTTCTAGATAATTAATTGTTGCATTTTGAAATTCATGAGAATAAAATGTAAATGAGTTATAGTTTAATGACCCTATTAAACTAATAGAGTGTGAAAATAACGCATGAGAATAGTCTTTGACCAAGGTTTCAAGGGCATTGTTAACATTAAATATATTAAAAAAGAAAGAAAAAAGATTGAAGGTATATTTAACTTTTGTTGTGAACCTTAAATAAAAAATAAAAAATAAAAAAATTGTTAACATTAAATATATTAAAAAAGAAAGAAAAAAGATTGAAGGTATATTTAACTTTTGTTGTGAACCTTAAATAAAAAATAAAAAATAAAAAGGTTGTTAACATTAAATATATTAAAAAAGAAAGAAAAAAGATTGAAGGTATATTTAACTTTTGTTGTGAACCTTAAATAAAAAATAAAAAATAAAAAGGTTGTTAACATTAAATATATTAAAAAAGAAAGAAAAAAGATTGAAGGTATATTTAACTTTTGTTGTGAACCTTAAATAAAAAATAAAAAATAAAAAGGTTGTTAACATTAAATATATTAAAAAAGAAAGAAAAAAGATTGAAGGTATATTTAACTTTTGTTGTGAACCTTAAAAAAATAAAAAAATAAAAAATAATAAAAAAAAAATAATTGTTAACATTAAATATATTAAAAAATAAAGAAAAAAGATTGAAGGTATATTTAGTTTTTGTTGTGAACCTTTAAAAAAAAAAAAGAAAAAAAAGTGGTTGTTAACATTAAATATAAAAAATAAAAATGGGGATTAAAGTGGGATGGGAAAAATTCATACCCATTAAAAAATGGGGAGGGTGGTACCCATGGGGAATGAGAAATGGAGAATGGAGAAAATTTATTATAAGGGAATGGAGATAGGAAATTAATATCCACCCCATTGCCCCCATTACCATTCCTAGAACCAAGGGTGTGATAGAGATAAAAATACTAGTGACTCGATTATGTTCCACAAGGGGTTTTGGGTATTCGTGTAAAATTAGTCTGCTTTATTTCACCATTTTACCCTCTATTAATCATAATAGAATTATTTATTTTACCTACCCTAGTATTATTTCTCTCACATTAAATATTGTCTCTCTTTTGTATACGTGAAATTATTTTAGGCATATGAATTTATTTGTTGAGGGTCTCTTTTATGTGCGTGAAGTTATCTAAGACATAAATTTATTTCAACAAGCAGTACTAATGTCTGAATGGATTTTTAGCATTAAAGTGCCTTGTAAATTGTTGTAGAGTTGTAAACAAGTCAATATTAGTAAACTAATCAAGTTCAGCTTGAATACTTGACCAACTTGAAAATATATTCAATTTTGAACAATTCACCTTTAAAACCAATCTCAAACAAACTTTAACCAAGTTGATTATGAACTGAGTTCAAGTCATTTGGTTTTTAATAGTGCATTAATCAAGTTGCGTTGAGAAATAAATTGTTCGTTTAATTTCAATACTTAACAAGTTTAAAATCCATTCAAACTTACTTATTTTCATAACAAGTTGATCTCAAACATGCTTAAACAATTCAAATTATCGATCCTTTTTAAAAATATATAACCTGTCCCCTTTAGTCGCACATACCAGAATCAAACACCATAAGATTGTAAGCAATATACAGATGACAAAACATTGTACAAAAAGGACTAAAGGATTGATGATTAACACAACCCAACAGTAGTTAGAACAATGGATTAGCACAAAGCTCCACCCACCGGACGGTGAGAACACCTTGGGATAAAAAAATTTGCTTCAGCTACTCGTTGCAAAAATTACAACCGATGTACAAATAATGAATTCTCGTACGCAGCGAGCGAAAGCAGACTTTTCTGTACCCTGTGAAAGCCGACTAGGTAACTGATATTTCTCTTAAAAGAGAAAAATCTAAAGCATTTTCAAGCTATACCAGTGAGAAGATTGGTAAAATTTCACTGAAAACTAAAACATATATATATGTTCAAGTGTATATCTCATGAAGTAGACAAAAACTTGTCCTTCATACGTGAAATAAGCTTAAATTTTTCCTCAGCTTCAACTAACTGGCGAATGTCTGACCCAGACGCTCTATCTGGGTGAAAGCTTAGCAAAGCTCGTTTATATGCTGCGCGGACCTGAAAAAGTTGTACTACTGGGTAAGCAATGGTGAAAATGAAGAACAACATGTAGTAAAAGGATTACATAAAATACAGAAACTAAAAGCAACACTTCCCCCTACTTCCCAATAATCCTCTTCTTTTTTTTCAAGCTTATATAAGCTATTTCTACCTCATAAATTGTAAGCAAAAGCTACATCGATACAAATTTTTTAAATAAAAAGAAGAAAAAAAAAGCTATAAACAGACTTAAAACCTGCACCAAACAGGCCCATAGTACCCAAAAGAAATGAGGAAAAAAAAAAGAAGAGGACGACGATTTAACCTGTCAGAAAAGAATTACATAAAATATAGGGATGCAAACATGAATAAAATCATTCTTTTCGCACAACATATGATGATGCATGGCAGAGCATAACAGTGAGTGAGTGCATGTGAATTTGTCAAGAGACATAATAAGCTTCCTAATCAGGCTTATCCTACCTACCCTAAAAACAGCATGAATATGTACGTATTAGATCAGATTCTTTAACCAATAGCCTCCAAACTTTCTTAACCGTATCATGGTCTTCAGACTTGAATTCACATTCATTTTAAAACCCTTCATTAAATTTAAATATAACATTTTAAGTTACCCCCTTCCAAATAAAAATTGTTCTTGGAAGTATATGAACATAGTTTGGCCATCAAGCAATGATAGCGAATTATTGGGACATACAAAAGATGAAAAGAGCCAATAAATTGTGGATTGAACACATTCCTTCAAGTCCACCAACCACTAACTTAAACACTATTGTTTAAAATACTCGGCACACCACTTAGTTTTCACTACTGTCATCCCATGGAACAAGGGCTACTCTATGCAATGATCACTATACAAGAGTGCTAAATAGATCATGAAAAAACTTACTAGAAACTAGCAAAAGGAAAACAGAAGCCCTAAAAAATAAATAATAAAAAAATCATACGAAAACAACAAATCATGGACTTGTGGTGATCAGTGACAAAAACATTGAGCTCACTGAGTCTAACATAAGAAGAACATCAAGGCAACTCAATAATGAGAAGCAAGCAACACATTGCCATATCATCACTAGGTAAAGATTGTGTCACTACCAAAACTACTCTCCAATTGATCACTGATTTGCACCATATTTATAAGACTTGAAGTATTACAAACAAACAACTTAACTCACCTCATGTGCCTGGGGCTGAAACCCACCACCTACTTGGATTCCTAGGCCACGCAATAGTGAAGCCATATCTCGACATTTAATTTCCAATTGGTTAAGCTCCTTCCTAACTTCAGCACGAAGTTGTTCTTTCAAGTTCATATTCTCTTCATCCTAAAAATATATAAAAACATAATCAGATCACAGAAAAACAAACACTCATCTCCTGCTAATTAGAAAGCTTTTTCTTTCCTTTTCTTTGTTTATTATTTGTGTTTGTGTGTGTCTCTGTGTATGTGTGTGTGTGTGTGTGAGAGAGAGAGAGAGAGGAAAATTAAAGCCAAGGCAAAGAAAATATAACAGAAGACAAATCTTTGGTAATATTAGAAAAAGGAAATGTCAGAATTGAGCATACCTTCTTTTGAATCTCTCGCATTTCTTCCACCCGTTGCTTTTGTCTTCTCTCCATGTCTAATAACCGCATACTTTCAGCTTTCTCCCTCTTCCGTAGTTGCCGCATCTTTTGTGCTTCTTCAGCCTGCAAAGGAGCAAGCATATTGACTGTGAAATCATCGTTCATCCACTTGAGAGCACAGACATCGTTATTTTATATTTAAATTGGACCTGACAATATATCTATGTGGTGAAAAACTTTAACTCGTGGAAAGCATCATGGGGTACCATTTCATCTAATGCAATTTTGGTTTGACTACACAATCTCATGGATCTGCTGTGGGTCAACACCACTAACAAAAGGGCTCAAACACTATCCATTTGTGATTAGGTTCTTTCCCAACAAAAAAATGCCTTTGCAACGATAGCCTGAAAAAGGTGTTTGATAGCATTTGAGCTTTAAGTTCAGGTTTAGATCTTTGACAGCCGCACATCAGATTCCAATTTTGGCCAAGCAGTTGCTGACAATGCTGTACAGCCACTTTATAATGTTCTAAAAATTGGTCAATACACCGTTGCACGGCTGTTACTCAACAGTTTCGATTGGACCAGCTGGAGCAGCTAGATTGAGACTCACAAGCACTTACAATTCCATAGTGGCAACTCGACCACATGAAACTTCACATACCCTTTTTCATTTTTTTTTCATTTTTCAAATTTCTTTTAAGCTCCAAGCTATCGTTTTGGATTAATGGAACACCTAAAAAGCACACCTAAAGACTAAGTAACACACAGAAATGCTTTTAGACTTCTCTTCTAATGGCCATGCCTCCACTTGTCTATAGAAATCAATTTCCCCATCAACTTGACATTAAATACTTTCCAAGAAGATGCTCTCACAGCTCAATGCAAAATGTCTGGAAGTCTGCCTTCATTGAAGTTGAAATCAACATTCTTAGCTTCAATTATCGAGCTTCTCACTTGAGTCTTAACTTTATGCTTTTCATGATGGGCCATTACTTGATTTTTTTCATGGAATATAGCTACAAAAGTAATTCTTCTTTTTTATGTTTAAGCTATCTAGTCTACGTTTAACAACAGCCCAAAACAAACTCTTCCTATGTACGCTCTTTATGTGTGTACCCCTCATAAATACAAGACAAACTTGAGATGCACACCTCTGATTGTGATACACAAGCCTCTGGAGAGTATTGAAATATGAAAGTGTCGATACAGTTTTCCTCCGCCTTGCCTCTAGGTGAGCCTCAATAACGCCTTTTAAAACTTTTGGGTAAAGGTATGATATATGTGTCCGATGTGCCTAATTGGACATACTCCCAATAAGTATACGTGACTAGATGAGTTTAATACACAACTGTGCATAAGACTTCCACTTTCTACATAAAATGCTATATTTTGGTTTGTAAACATCATTCTACCCTAATAATAAAGGAAATATTTTTAAAAAAAATATGAAATATGTTCGTGTCCTGATAAGAGTTAGACGAATCTAAACTTGGACACATACCCGTACTCAAATCCATTTACCATACGCGAGGATCTACATATACCTCCGGGGGTTTTTTGACAACTTGCAATGGTATGAAAGTAGATTACAAGGTTAGGTTCCAAATCTAAATATAAAGTGCGATTCCTGTAGTGTAAGATGTGAAGGATTCAAATTTTTTTTAGCAAAAAGATTTCATAGTGCTTGTTTTTACAATAATTTTGCAGCCACATATGTTGCTAGTAATCTGATATTTCATTCAAGAACAAGCATAACAAAGTGGACAACCAATTTCTTGTGAATGGCAACGAGAACCTAAATTAAAATTTAAAAATGAGAAAAAAAATATGATAAAAGCCCTCTAAAGCGTTATTATATTGACATTTGTAACATGCTAAACATAATTTAGACCCATGTCCAGCTTGAGAAAAATAAAAAAACAGGCAATGGGAGGGGGACACCATCCAATTATATTCAGGCAGATGCAAATATCTAGTATTTATTTATTCCACAAAAAGGAAGGGAAATTTGGTCAAAGCCCCCTCATAATAAAACTTTAATACATTAAGGACAAGTACAAAAAGTTTTCCTTGAAAAGTCCAGCATATACCACTATTACCAAAAAATCCTTAGTGAGTAATTTAATATTTTAAACTTTAAAATAATATAACTTTTGATCAAGATGTTGGTTTTTAATAAAATTAATTCATGTGTTTGGTTTCAGTTTTCTGAGTTCAATTTTTTAGAAATGGAGTTTTTTATTTTTTGTATTTTTTTGTTTTTAGTGAATAGTTTTAAAATGTTAAGCAATTTTTTTCTTTTTTAGATGCACCTTACTTAGATGTATCTAAATAGTAAAATATTTGTGAAAAAATATTTTAAAAAATTAATAAATACACAAAAATATGAAAAATGTACTGAATTTTTGTATTTTTTTTATATTTTTGGTATTTAGTGAATTTTTTAAAGAATTTTTTCACAAATATTATACTTTTAAGTGTATTTATGTTATATGTGTCTAAAATTAAAAAAATTACTTAAAATAAAATTCAGTGAAAACAAAAAAAAATACCAAAAACAAAAAAGTAAAATTTTCTGAAAAGTGTTTTATGAAAACCCAAACCAAGCAAAGTGAATATTTTAAGAATCCTTTCATCAAGATCTATCAAACGAGATCCATGTTGACTATAAAATTCGTTAAAAAAAAAATACCGTCAAAATTGACATAAATAGTAACATGTTACTGATTACCAGAGTAACACTTTACAGTCTTCTTAAGTAGGATATCAGTAACAAAAAAACAGAGTATGAAAGGAAGCTCTACAAGTTCCTTTACGAGTTCGCAAACAAATCAACAATAATTCAACATACCTAAACAAAACTTTACAAACAACAATCAACAAACTCAACAAATTCCTTCAAATCCCATCAAATTTTCGATTGATAGGGTCCTTCAACCAAACTCTCCTTAATCACACTAGGTTTCTACACCCACTACTACTTTCATCAAAACCCAACCAAGACCCAAATCCAAACCTACTTTCACTGCAACAATCGGCATAAAAGCTTCTTCTTCTTCTTCTTCTTCTTCTTCTTCTTCATTTGGGTTTATGAATTTTTGGAATTGGATTTTGATTTCTTAGGTCCTTGATTTCCGTGAGATGAACAATGGGTGTTAGCGTGTAAAGACCAGTGAAAGCAAACTGGATATATATATAGGTATAAGATTGTCCAGAAAAAAGAGAAAAAATATTAGTATGTCCTTCGTGGAGGAAACACTTGTTGCTCAAGGGATTTAGGAAGTAAAATATTTTGAACTGTCCTTGACACACTAACATGTTGGGCCTAGGGGTTTTGGCTAAATTTCCCAAAAAGGGAATGGGACCAATACTTAAAAAGAATAACTAGATGATACTGTTTATGCATTAAGTGACAAAGTATGCAGAAATACACGCTGAAAGACATAACTTCATTTCTTACAAGTAAAGCTGATTAAGTAATTAATTTAAGTCACTACACCTTCAACTCCTTGTACGATTTATAAGCATTTTCAACTAGGTTAAATAACTTCAATTCTAAATTAATACAACAATCAAAAAAAGATAGGAGTCCATTTTGAAAAGCTTGCTACCCTCATTTGACTATATCATACAGTGAAAAGGTGTTAGACAGAAAGAAGTCAGCCATGCGGCCAAACAATACAATCTACAACAACAATATGAAATGGTATATGTATAAATTAATGGGATGAAACTAATCAATGAAGTTGTATAAGCCCACACCTGAACTTGTAACTCTCGCTGCCTGGATGCCCATTCTTCCTCTACTGCTCGTTTGTATTCATCAGTCTCCTTAAGCTTTTCCCGTTCATTAATTATACAACCCTGATCTGCATTCGTAACATCACCATCTTGAGCATGCAATGGACCATCCTTTTCTACTTCTTGTTGATGATTAGACATAAAATCACTACATAATTTCCCTGCCCCCATGTTTGGTGAAGAATGTGCTTCATTACGAGGAATGCTAAAGAAAGATGGTTCCTCAGGGACTGGCTTCACTTTGACTTGACAGCAAACCTTTACTTTTTTCAAAGCTGACTCTCCCAAGGGTGTATCTTCACAGAAAGTTTCCACAGGAATAGCTCCAACTTCATTATCCGGAACACCATGATTAACTTGTGTTTCATCAGATGGTTTCATATTCTGAAATGAAGGTTCTCTAGATGCCAATTTCTCCTTATCCACAGAACTACCACTTGCATTTTCAAATTCATTAGGAAAATGAGAGTTGCAACTACGAGGCTGCTGAAACTTCTCTCTGCCATTGCCAACTTCAGTATCAACTGAATGTTGGGTCTTGGAGAACAAAAGCACTTCATCTGGTATCATAAAGAAGGAAAACTCCTCATCTAGGAAACTAGTTTTACTACAACCAAAGTGTATGTCAATGGTTGGATCAGGATTTGTCATACAAGGTTCTGCAGGCGGGGTTTTGTCTTTATCCTGAGAAAATCTATTAGTATGATTAACTTGTTTATTACCTTGTTCATGACTGGAACATGCAGAAAATCCTCGAGACCAGTGGTCATGTTCATAGTGAAGACTAGAACGACCATGCTTAACATGTTTAGTAGCTGGCCCCTCAGAATTGTTGAAAGGCGGGTCAACTGCGAATGACTCTTCTCTGACCCAGTTATCAGCCTTACTATCAGAAAATTGAGTTTCTTCAGTTGACTTCAAACCAAAATCAGCAAAAGGAGATGGGTTTTCTTCCTCATAACAAGCATTGCTTGAACTAGGACAAACCTGGGCTTCTGTGTGTTGGTCAGTCATGTTCTCTACTTCAACTTTCTGCTGACTACCAGTATGCAACCCAGAAGTAGTAGCCTGATCTACCCTACCAGATTGACCATTGCGAACATCATATTTTTTCTTCATGTTAGCTTTTTCCCACTGTTCACGAAGCTCTCCAAAAGAGTCTTCCATGAATTCACAATCAGGATAATCATTATCAGCTGAACCAGTGTCCGATTCAGGACCTAAACCATAACGATTTCTGCTGGAAGCTTTTCCAGAATAGGTCCTTTTGCACTTTGATAACTTCAATGGGGATAAATTTTCTTGAACAAACTGACACTCATCACCAACCTGATCTGCAGACTTTTGAGTGTGGTTTGAGGTAGGGAAAAATCTCCCACTAGAGGAGGCATCACTATAAAAGTCACCACCACCTTCTACACCCATCCCAGGATGATCGTTGTCAGAACTTTCATCATCATCAATGCAGATTACAGTCCGTAATTTACACCTATCACTTGAACCACGTAGCTTCTGCTTTAAAGACTCAGGAATATCGATGACAATAACGTTATTGATATTATCACTATCAACATCAATGAGGACAACATTATCAGCTTCCCCATTATTCTTGCACCTTTGCAATGTCTTCCTTCCAGAACAAGTACTAGATTGAGAGTGACCTACAGATTTACCTTTTCCTCGCATCTGTCCCTGCAAAACAGGACTTGAAACTTACAAAAGATATCCACCTTGATACGACTGAAATACTCTTAATTTAAGATGAAGTACCATATATGTCAAATAGTAACCCAAAATTCTATATCTTAGAAAGGAATGACTCAAAAAAATAAAAAATAAAATAACAATGATGATAATAATCTTTAACCACTACAGAGCTAGTAAGTTCAAGCCTATCTAATCTAATTCACAAATTGAGTCAAGCACAAGTGACAAGCAATCCCCGCCCACCACCTCCCTCACACACGGGAAGCAAAAAATGGTGCAAAGGTAAACCTTGCATTTATGCATGCATTTTGTTGTCAGTGATGTCAAGGAATTCATATATTCATGCACACCAACGTTTTTTTAGCAGAAAAGAGATCATATTTGGCATCATTATTTGATGTGGAGTACGAATACATGAGTGAGAAAGGGGCAGAGTTCATTTGGACTAGTCTTTCTTATTGATCGTTTATAACTTAAAATGAGGGCAATTTGGTACTAGAAAATCTGATTGTTAAGTGACCAGGTTAATATTAATCATGACAACAAAAATGGCTATTATCAGCATGCATCCCATGCGCAACCACCTTCCCAATTTGCTTTCTTTGGCACAACTGTTTCAACAACTGTCATAAAACTAAATGCACATTTACCCAGCCAAACACACTTGTCCACAATAAAGTATTATATTGACGAGAATCATTCTTAACCCTGATGATAAATAAGAAATTGCACTAAAAAACCACTAAAGGGGCGCAACCACACACAGGCACTAATACATAAAAGACACGAAATAACTTTAAAAAACAAAAATTGTGGAACTAACAAATCCCAGAAAACCACAGGAGCTTAAAGGCAGATGTTTCACCTTGTGAATATGCAATTTTACCCCACCACCATGAGAAGCACAAGACAGCTACATAGAAAAAAATAAAAATGACTTCAGTTCACTAGATAAACCATCTAAAAATCAACTGTGAATTTAACAAAGAGTGACAACAAACTCCCTGAAATCCAAAGCATTTTCATAATTTTCATCGCTGGAATTTCAGGTTTTAAGATAATAAAAACAAAAAAATGCTAAAAACACTACCAAACAAGTCATAAATTTAGTGTTGATTCTTCATTATATTGGACAAAACAAACCAAAATCTATAACTAACCAAGCTCAATTGAAGTAATACTATAAGAAGCACAAACAAGAATCGAGTTCTGTTAAAAGGCAAAAATCAAGAAAATTCAAAACCCTAATGAAATCAACAAAAACATTAAAAACCCATATTTCAACAAGAAGAAAATCAAGAACAGCAAACAAATATCAAATCAGTTATAAAACCCTAATCAAAATCAGCAAACACAGATACGACAACAGAACCAAACACATATTCAGAGAGAATGAAATTCGAGTATCAAATCAGAAATTGAGAAAGGGTTTGTACCTGCGGAGAGACCGATACAAATGGGGAAAATCTAGAGAGAGAAACAGTTTTTTAGAGAGAGAAGTGGGGGGAAAAGCACGGGGCGTGTTTGGGAATTTGGAAGAGGAAATTTCAAAAATTTGGTACCGAAAAATGGAAAGGAAATTAAAATGGCTTTGCTGTGTATGTACGATCACAACGACGACGAAAATGAATGCGAGCTCGGCGTGGAGATATGACAGACGGTCACGAGCGTAATGTGATACGTGGAGGTTTGTTATTGGTCGGTCACGTCACTTGCCTCTTCGCGTTGTTGGAATGGGTAGATTGGGAATTTCGGGTTTGACTTTCCTATTGGGGAAGTTGACACTTAGTGGGCTACCGGCCCTTTTTAGACTTGTAGGTTTGGAATTGCAACTTTTAGCCAAGCCCAACTCTACAATCTACATTCAAACTTACCCCGTTTGGAGATTTTATTTTTTTAGTATTTTTTTTTTTATAAGGTTAATAGTATTAATGTATTTAACAGTGATTTTTTTAGTTGAATAAATAATTAAGATAAAAAAATAATTAATTGACATATTGTTGAGGTTGAATTTTTAATTTTTTTATTTTTTTGATATTTTTTAACCAAAAATTACTTCCCAATCAATTTTTTTTTTAACTAGTCCCAGACAATCCCTTAAGCTAGTCCAATATGGCTTAACCATATGGCATTGGGCACTTCTTTATTATCCCATTTCTCTACTGGACCATCGAGTTTGGTCATATGATCCCCCATAAAACCCACTTGGATAATATATATACTTATTCGTTTATCCAGGAATAACAAAACATTTCTCAAAAATGTGAAATTTTAAAAGTAAAAAACTGTGATACTTTCAAATTCACAAAAAGTATAAATTTTTACTTTTTCATTTTACATAATTTTATATTCAATTGAAACCGTATTTATAGATCTAGTTATGTAGTTTTTTAAAAATCCAAATTTTACCAAAAAGGAATTTGTATTTTAAAAGTAACAAATTTTTAAACTTTCCTTAAAAAAATGCCATAAAAGCATCTTGACCAAAAAAGAAATAAAATTGTCATGACAAAATATTTAATTTCAAAAAAATGATCTTCCAAAAACTTATTGGATCACAAATACAATAATGACTTGGACCCCATTTTTTTCCACCCCCTTGACCCCCTCTTCACCTGATTGACTACTTTTTCTTTCTTTCTTTCTTTTTTGTTCCTTTTCCTCTAATTACCACCCGCCACGTGTCTGTGGAGGGGGGTTGGGTGGTGGGGGTAGTGATTGAAGGGGATCTCAATCATCACCCATCACAAATATTTCTATAGGATCTATGACAAAATAAGTTGAAACAATTCCCTTATTAATTTCTCTTTCACAATTCTAAGACACAGACCAATTATTTGTCGGTTCAAGTTTGCTGAGAGCTTTCAATCTGGGGGGGTTGGGTGATAGGGGTGGTGATTGAAGGGATCTCAATCATCACCCATCACAAATATTTCTATAGGATCTATGACAAAATAAGTTGAAACAATTCCCTTATTAATTTCTCTTTCACAATTCTAAGACACAGACCAATTATTTGTCGGTTCAAGTTTGCTGAGAGCTTTCAAACACCATAACATGGTTTACAAGACAATGTAGTGTGAGTCCAATTTAAAATGAGTACTGGAGCCTGGAGGTATCATTGTATTCTGTACACTTATATGTGAAATATTACTATAGTAATGATTTTCAAAGACCCTTTTCAAAGAATGCTATCAATATCAATTTTATTCTTGTTTTGTCTTGCTGAGTTTGCGACTAGTTTTGTCTATAAATAAAAAAATAAAAAAAAAATTGCGACTAGTTGAGGACTATACTCTTCCCAAATTCACAATATGCCTGACTTCCAGCAGCAATGGAAGCGTTGTAAGCAAGATTTTCTCTTCCCAGACTACAGTCTCAACCTCCTAGCTGCCCATTTGATGGATGGAGAATTTGACATGTCAAATTCTCCATTGAAATTCAGTGGTTTCAAATCTTTTCATTAAATCCAAACACAACCTTATAATGTGGGGGAGAAAAAAGTGTTAGGGAAAATCTATAATTCCCACAAGTAAATCAATCAATGGGAATAAAAACTAATGCGGAAAAATTAAATCAAAAGCAACACAAGAATTTTACGTGGTTCCCTCAATCTGAGGTACGTCCACGGGATCGAAATCCGATTCCACTATCAACCAAATAAGTTTCCAAACGATTACAAACAAGACACGAATGGTCTCACAAAACCACCCTTAGGTGAATTCCAAATAATCACAAATAAACAAAAAGGAAAGACCTCACCAAATAGATGAACCAAAATCTTCAGAACAAGAGTTAAAGAACACTCAAAATAACGAACCAAATTATCTTCAGAACCGAGGCAACATAACCATCAACCAATCAAGTAGCCTTGACAAATCTTCACTCTTCGGCACTGCTACCGAAGCAATAGAATTGGTATAGCAGCCGCACCTTTTTGGTTTTCTCACCCTACCGAAAATCAACCACGTTGCAGCTGCCTCACCGATTTTTCAAGAACTAAAACAATATATATATGTATATATTGAATTTTGGATTTTGAAATCAAATCCTAATTATTACCCAATTAAATTAGGTCTCCAAAAAATTAGATATAATATATATAAAATATATTATACCCAAACTAAACCAAATTAGAATTCTTTTAACAAATCAATTGGGTCCCACACTCCAATAAGGAGGTATACCCAACAATTCTCCCATTACCAACTTAGGTGGAGATATCAACCATACCCGCCAAAGTTCGACACTTCAAATGTTTGTCCCGCGACAAAGTCTTAGTCAACATATCCAAAATATTATCATCTGTGTGAACCTTTTCGAGTTGCAACAATTTCGAATCTAACACATCACGAATCCAATGGTATCTCACATCAATGTGTTTCGATATCGAATGAAAAGCAGAAATTTTTACTCAAATGAATAGCACTTTGACTATCACAATAAAGCACATACTTTTCTTGCTTCAAACCCAATTCTTGCAAAAATTTCTTCAACCATAACTCTTCTTTGCAAGCCTCTATAATGGCAATAAATTCAGCTTCGGTAGTTGAGGGAACAACACATTTTTGTAATTTAGATTGCCATGCCACAGCTCCCCCTGTAAAAGTCATCAAATACCCCGAAGTAGATTTCTTAGAATCAATATCACCGGCCATGTCAGAATCTGTGAACCCATCAAGCATCGGCTTACCATCCCCAAAACGCAAACACACCTTCGAAGTCCCTCGAAAATATCTTAGAATCCATTTTACCGCTGCCCAATGTTCTTTACCCGGATTAGAGAGAAACCAACTCACCACACCAATGGCGTGAGCAATATCCGGCCTTGTACAAACCATGGCGTACATTAAAGAACCAACTGCTGAAGCATAAGGAATTTTCAACATCTCTTCCTTGTCTTTCTCACTTGTAGGACATTGATTCGAACTAAGTTTGAAGTGACCTGCAAGTGGACAACCAACCGGCTTTGTTTTATTCATGTTGAACCTCTCAAGAACTTTCTTAATGTAGCTTTGTTAAGACAATCAAATCAGCCTCTCTTTGCGATCACGAACAATTTTCATACCAAGTATTTGCTTTGCCAGTCCCAAATCTTTCATAGCAAAAAATTTACTCAACTCTATCTTCAACTTGTTAATCATGGTAGAATCTTGACCCACAATTAACATGTCATCAACATAAAGCAAAAGAATAATAAATTTACCATCCGAGAAATTTTTCACAAACACACAATGGTCCGAAGTGGTTTTAGAAAAACCATTATTCATCATGAAAGAGTCAAATTTTTTGTACCATTGCCGCGGGGCTTGCTTGAGACCATACAAACTTTTCTTCAATTTGCAAACAAATTTCTCTTTCCTCTTTTCCACAAAACCTTCCGGTTGCTCCATGTAAATTTCTTCTTCAAGGTCACCATGAAGAAATGCGGTCTTCACATCAAGTTGCTCAACTTCAAGGTTCATACTTGCAGCTATACCAAGTACAACCCGAATAGAAGACATCTTTACAACCGGTGAGAAAATCTCGTCAAAGTCAATAACTTTCTTTTGCCCAAAGCCTTTCACAACAAGATGTGCCTTGTAGCTCAGATTCTTGCCATCATTCTTCAATTTGAAAACCCACTTATTTTTCAGAACTTTCCTCCCTTTAGGCAACTTCACTAAATCATAAGTCTGGTTTTCAAGCAAGGAATTCATCTCCTCGTCCATGGCCTTTTTCCAATCACCTTTATTTGCATGCTTAATTGCTTCTTGGTAGCTCTCAGGCTCCCCTTGATCAGAAATCAACACAAATTCATTGGGAGGATACTTTCTTAAAGGTTGTCTGTGACAACCCTCACTACGGTTTACTGATAACACCACTGATTACTGCTAAACTAAGACTGATCATGATAAGCAATTGAATTGATTAAAATTCTGAGTTAATTAATTGAATGTGTTAGTTAAGTGCATGTCTATCTGTTTGACTGTTAAATTATATGTTCGTGTTTTATGTTTTAAACTGCAAATTGAAGGCCTTATCGGCGGCCGAATCTGAAATTGATTAGTGTTTTGTGCTAATTAAAATTTATGTGATTTTATGGCATGTTTAATTGAAATGTGATTTGGTATGATTAAATTGGATCAAATAAGCTAAATTATCAAAGTTGGACTTATTTACAAGAGTGCCACTTAGTGGACTTTCATGAGCTTTTATTTGATTTCTATATGCTAGCATTATATCATTCTATCAGCCCATTCCTTGAACCATAACCGACTAAGAGAGAGAGAGAGAGAAAGTGAGTTCAACTTGAAGGTTTTGCTTGGAATTGAAGGTTAATTGCATATTTGAGCTTCCATACTTGACATTGAGGACCTAAGGTAGGATACTCATCCTTTAGTTTGTGAATTTGAGTTGTGTCTTGCATGATTCATGGAATTTTAGTGATCTAAGTCTAGAATTGGTTTACAATGTTGAATTGAGAGCTAAATCATGCATGCATGTGCATATCTTGAAATTTAGAGTTGTTTTCATGGAAATTATTACATGCATGTCCATATTATTATTATAATCCATGAATTCACCATGTTTTTGGAAGGTTTGGCTCATTTGATCTTGTGTTTGAAGCTTTAAGTTCATATAAGCTCA